TATTTTTGTACAATGAGACAAACATTCTAGTAAAAGAATGTCGTCGCAAAAAAAATGAAAATTTTGATACAAAGAAAAGAATGTGCAATAATCCTATGGGGTTCCCATTCTGCTATAGCCTTCGTATCTCTGAGCATCTTGTCTATTTGTTGCCTTGTCCGAAGTTGATTGAATTGATCAGAACCTCTGAGTTTGCAGGTTGTTCGTAAGGTGATCCAATGGGACATAGTAATACGCTTTAATTCCCTAACCTTTGCCTGGACCGCCCTTTCGGGTTTTCAGTCCACCGAGATACCCTTTTTTGCCAAAGCCTCCCTTTCGGGTTTTCAACTTGCCGGGTGTACATATTCTTTTTTTGTTTTATCCCTAATTTTTTCCCAAACCTTTTTGGTTCGCTGGAATGCCCTCGTTTTTCCTAGGTGTGTCAACCTAGTGGGTCTCTTATACGTAGTATCTTTTAACTATGTCTGTGTTCGCGTGGTATGGTAGGTCGTCACTATCCATGGTGGTCAAGATCATTGTGCCACCAGAGAATATGTTTTCGATTACAAATGGTCCTTCATATGTAGGAGTCCATTTTCCCCTGGGATCACCTTGCGGTAGTATGATATGTTTGATCACAAGATCCCCAACTTGATACACTTGGCGTCTGACCTTTTTGTTGAAAGCCTTGATCATCCATTTTGATACATTTGACCATGACAGACATCAGTAAGCCTTTTCTCATCAATAAAGTTTAATTGATCAAGTCGAGTCTAGATCCAATCGTCTTTGTTCAACCCTGCATCCTTCATAATTCTTAGAGAGGGGATATGGACCTCAATAGGCAAGACAACCTCCATGTTATATACCAGAAAATAAGGTGTTGCCCTGGTTGATGTGTGGGCTGTGGTAAGATATCCGTGGAGAGTGAATGGTAGCATCTCATGCCAGTCTTTGTATGTGACTGTCATTTTCTGTATGATCTTTTTAATGTTCTTATTCGCGGCTTCGACAACACCATTCATCTTCGGCCGATAAGGGGAAGAATTGTGACGTTGGAACTTGAATTGCTCGTACAGGGCGGTGATCATAGTATTATTTAGATTCGTACCATTGTCTGTAATGATCCTCTCCGGGATACCGTATCGGCAGAGGAGGTTCTGCTTGATGAACCAGGCGACAACATTCTTGGTAACGGAAGCGAAAGAATTTGCCTCCACCCACTTTGTAAAATATTCAATGGCCACTAAGATGAAGCGATGTCCATTGGAGGCTGTTGGCTTGATTTCCCCAATCATATCAATCCCCCACATAGAAAAGGGCCAAGGAGTCGTCAAGACATTCAGAGGAACCGGGGGTACGTGCACCTTGTCAGCATAAATCTGACACTTATAGCAGGTTCGAGAGTGTTAGTAGCAGTCTGCTTCCATGGTATACCAATAATAGCCTGCCCGTAGGATTTTCTTTGCCATCGTATGCCCATTGGAATGGGTGCGAAAATTACCTTCATGTAACTTAGCCATGATTCTTTCAGCTTCAACCTTGTCTACGCACCGAAGTAATACAGAGTCATGGTTGCGTTTGTAAAGAATGCCATTACTAAGGAAGAATTTAGCATAGAATCTCCTTAATAACTTCTTATCATTTACTGAAGCTCCTTCTAGATATTCTTGAGCCTCGAGATACCTCTTGACTTCGTGAAACCATGGCTGGTCCACTAATTCTTCACTAATAATCTCGTGACAGTGTGCTGGTTCATCCATTCATTCAATGGTGATCTGGGGAGCCTCGTTATCCCATTTAAGTTTAAACATAGATGACATTATGGCTAGTGTGTCAGCTAGCTGATTTTCTTCTCGCGGGAAATGCTCGATGGTAATCTTTTCAAAATGTGGGAGCAACGTCAAAACATGTTCTTTGTAAGGGATAAGGTTAGGGTTTTAAGTGTCCCATTACCCTTTGACCTGGCTAATAACCAAAGTTGAATCTCCAAATACATTCAATGATTTGATCCCTAAGTCTATGGCAGCTTTGAGACCAAAGATACACGCTTCGTATTCCGCCATGTTATTTGTACCATTGAAGTAGAGTCTTGCCGTAAAATGAGTATGACATCCTTAAAGAGATATGAGTACATCACCAATACCGTTGCCGAGTGCGTTAGATGCCCCATTAAAAACCAGGGTCCATCGGGATCCTTGTTCAGGTCCGTCATATGGCCTGAATTCTTCATAGTTGTTTACCATCATGAAGTCGTCATTTGGGAATTTGAATCTCATGGAATGGTATTCTTCCACAGCTTGGTGAGCAAGGTGATCAGCTAGTACACTGACCTTTATTGCTTTCTGGGTAGTATATTGTATGTCATATTCTGTCAAGATCATCTGCCATCTCGCTATTCTCCCAGAGAGAGCAGGTTTCTTGAAGATGTATTTTATTGGATCCATTTTAGATATCAACAAGGTAGTATGGGTCAGCATATACTGTCTTAGCCGGCGAGAAGCCCATGCCAGAGCGCAGAAAGTTTTCTCGAGTAGTGAATATCTTATTTCGCAGTCAGTAAACTTTTTGCTCAGGTAATAAATAGCATGCTCTTTTCGGCCAGACTCGTCATGCTGCTACATAACACACCCCATTGGATTTTCCAAAACCGTCAGATACATGATCAATGGTCTTCCCTCAACTGGTGACATCAATACAAGAGGCTCTTGCAGGTACTCTTTGATCTTGCCGAAGGCAGTTTGGCACTCATCATTCCATTTGACTACTTGATCTTTCTTCAATAGTTTGAAGATTGGCTCACAAGTAGCTGTCAGGTGAGAAATGAATCTGGAAATATAGTTTAAACGTCCCAAGAATCCTCTGACTTCCTTATTAGTACGAGGAGCAGGCATCTATTGTATCGCTTTCACTTTGGCAGGATCTACTTCAATACCTTTATTGCTGACGAAAAAGCCTAGGAGTTTACCAGACCTTACTCCAAACGTGCACTTATTGGGGTTCAACCTCAACTTGTATTTCTTTAGCCTCTCAAACAGTTTCTGTAAATGATCAAGATGTTCTTCTTCTGTTTGAGATCTAACTATCATATCGTCCACATAGACCTCTATTTTGTGATGTATCATGTCGTGAAATAGAGCGACCATGGCACACTGATAGGTTGCCCCAACATTCTTCAGTCCGAATGGCAACACCTTGTAGCAGAATTTGCCCCACTATGTGACCAATGTTGTTTTCTCCATGTCCTCAGGTGCCATTTTGATTTGGTTGTAACCTGTGAAACTATCCATGAAGGAAAATACTTTGTGATGTACCATATTGTCAACTAGGATGTCAATGCGGGTGTTGTACCCCAATTTTTGACCTAAGATCCCATTTTTGTTTTTGCATTTTTTAAAGATAAGTCAAGGTCACGAAATACGGTTGGTTTTAACCTCTCACCTTCGAACTTTGACTATGCGAAGATTGTCAAGTGTTTTGAACATTTTTAGCCTATGTATCACTAATTTCTAATCGCATACAAAGGTGTATGTTCATGTTTTCTTTTGTGTCATGTGCAGAGACGGGTCTGGATCAAGAGCATCAAGTGTCGCACCTCAATTAAGGTTTTGATTCTCCCAAGCCAGAAGTACGGTTGATTGTGGATTCTCGAAGACTGATTCATCAAGGCACAACTGTTGCACCCTAAATTTCGCCCCTAATATGTTTTAGTCGCACTTTCGTATCATATCTTGTTATTTAGTCACAATCATTAATAAATAGCTTCATTCGTCACATTTGTATCATTTAATTGTGTTTAAGTTGACCAAAAGTCAGTTTAAATCGACATTTGCATCATTCTGTAGTTGAAAAATACCCGACATTTCACTTTATTCACTTTTATCTGTTTACTCATTTCTTGCATGGCTCCAAGTTTCTTATATGTCAATAATAAAAATATTTAGGTTTTACAGACAGGCTGTTAAAAGCGATTCGACACTATACGAAAATTAGCGAGAAAAATATTTCAAGTTTTAACCTTTTACCGATCATTTTATGAATCTGCGTTTCACGTAGATTATGACGGTATGCTCGCTTTATTTTTTTCGGTGTAGTTTGAAGTCTCATTTTTAACCGTAAACGTCTGTTCTGCCTGATATTTTTATTCTCATTTTATTTTGATTTTGACTTTTTTGAATATTTTTTCTTTAATCTTTTTTACATGTAGTTTATTTTAATATGTTCATTTTATTTTTTCGGATAAATTTTCGTCCGTTTTTATTGTTTTTAGTCATTTTGGGTCTTTATTTTTTATTCAAAAAAATTCAAAAATTATTTTAAATTGAGTTAATTTTAATACATTTAGTTTTTTGGTTATTTTTATCATTTAAGGACTATTTGATCAGAAAAATATATCATTTACACTATACTCTATTCCTATTGGTTGTTGGATGAAATTGAGGATCGATACAAAATTGCCAAAACAATATTAATCACTTTTTACCCTTTCCCCCTCTATCCAATCTCTTCCCCTGATACAACAATAAAAACAATTTCAACCCTTCTATTTCACTCATCCTCCAACAATTAACACAAATAGTAATTCATCTCAACTTTCTATCCTCTCTTCCTAACATCCATCCCTTTATTTCCCTCTCCAATCTCAACACAAAATAATCTCATCATAAAACACCCTTCTATTTCAATGCACAACATAATCCCTCATCTCCTTCAAAAAAACCCTTCCGCCCTTCAATTCCTCTTAAAAACAGAACAAACACAATTCCGCCTTCCTTCCATCTCCCTCTGTTATGTTCATCTTCCACGAAGTTCTCCACAAACCAGCCATCATCTCCATTCACTACGCGCTAACCTCCGTCTCCCTTCACCCACATCACCTCACGAACTCGCTACTTCCATCCCTTCTTCCTTGTTCTCAAACCGCTTCCAAATCCAATCCCATTCCCACTATCTCTCTCTCATAACCAACCGTTTCTACACATTCTCGCAACAACGAACTCACAAAACACAGATCTGAAATGAAAATGAAGATCAACAAAGCCGCCGATCTCTACTCAATCTCCGTCTTCCCTCCTCCTCACATCTATTCAAGGAGGCCGAACAATGTATCGAATGGACTGCAAGCGTCGCAACATCGATCGCAACCGTCTCAGCAATCGTTTTCTCAGGGATTGTCATCTCAGCAAGGAATTATGTCTCATTTCTCGCAAAGCTCGCTCGACGAAGCTATCACAGCAAATGATCAGAGAGCTGGTTCTCAAGAACATGAGAACTCTTAAAGGAGGTTTTCTAGTTTGCCTCGACTTGCTTTTCCGAAGAACGAGAGTCAACCACACAACTCAAGATCTTCATCCAATCTCCTGGTGAAATGGAACTCTGTAGATAATAAAAATCAGTTAAGCGAAGGACTCGAAACCCAAATTGGCATAATGGAAACCTCATTGAGCAGGTTTGCAATGATCATGGATTCTGTTCAAAGTGATGTAATGCAAGTTAAAAAAGGAACAAAGGAAATTAATTTGGAGATGGAGTGCATAAGACAGAAGCTGATTGCTCAAGATAACTCGCTTTAGTTAATGATGAAAGGACAAGAAGAAATTAAAGCAAGCATTAATGAGAGCTTGAAATCTTTCTCTGAACAAATGAGCCACGTTACAAACATAGAGAAGTTACAGGAAGCATATATGTTGGTTTCAGCCGTGCCTCAGCTAATTTAAGGCTCTCTGAAAAATTTGCAAAATGATCTCCAGAACACACACAGCACCTCCAGCCGCTCATCTCTAACAGTACATCTGCTTTCGGTTTCAACATTTTCGGTAATTCTTTTCGTTTTCTTAACGATTATGCTGTTTGAATCTATTGATATAATTCTGAAAAATCGATATTCGATTGCTGCTCGTTTTGGTTTTTTTTATTTGAATTAAGTAACTGTTATGCTGTTGAAGTCATAGTTGTTGTTATATGGTGAAAACACAAATGTTGTAATGAATTTCTGATTAAAAACGGTTTGCAATAGTATGGGTGGTTGATACTTTTGAACTGATATGCTGGAAAATATGATTAAGATTGGTCAGTTTTGGTTTAGTTGTTGTTGATTTAGTGTTGATATCCTTATGCCACGAAATTTGTGATAGAATTTGGTTCGGTAATGCTTATGTTGAGTGTGTCGGGATTGTCCGAATTACTGCGTTGAATGCATTTCGTTGTGCTTGATAAAGTTTGTTATCATGATTATTCATTTTGAATTCATTAGACACCTATAGTGTAATAACTTGCTTCCATTTTAATTTCAATTGAGATTATGAATGAAGGATGTTCGAAGTTTAGTTTCGATGAAGGTGACGATAATGCCGCATTCTATTCACGTGTAAATCTGACCGAGAAACTATTGAGACAACGTTTTGTTTCCTTTATGTGAACTATTGATTCTTGTTTTCCGTTGTGGTTTAAAATAGCGATCACTTTTGAAATTACTTAATGGAATACATGTATGCAATGCTGATTTTTGTGTTTACATTGAATAATATCAGGAATTCTTGATTTTTATTTGTGTAAATATTCATTTGTTCATAGGCATCATACAAGTTTATTTTGATTTTTATACTTTGTGATTACTAACATAAATTCAAATCTTGTTACAATTTCGTTTCATTTTAATTTGTATACCGCTTATGCTACTAACAAGTTTGCTTACTGTGAAGGTTTTCGAGAACAGTTTCAAGCGTTCGTTCTCGCATAGCGCATTTATAATTCCCTTTTTACCTTACTATTTTGATTTAATATTTGGTATTGTAAATATATACTTGTACATAATATTTTGACTGTCTATTCACTTCACTTGTAAATAAATTCAGGTTTTGAAAATATTATTTTCATTGCATTGTGATTTTGTTTTTAATTCCAACTAACTTCTGAAAATTGTACGGACGTACATAAGTTTCCCCGTGCTGTTAGATTTTAAATTCACACCCCTTTTAAGTCAAAACTTCAACACTAGGTCGTCGTATCTTCAAAATCTCATCCATACCCATTTAACTAAACAAACAATTTTAACCAAAAACAAATATTTCAAAAGGTTCCTGCGGAGTACCGCAAATGCATTGGGTGCTAATACCTTCCCATTGTATAACCAACCCCCGAACTCTCGATCTCTTTTCAAAACGCATTGTATTTTCATTACTTTTAAGTATTATTATACATTGCATATTTTAGGGTTTTATTTCGCTCTTTTCCCTTTTCCTTTGGAAATAATAAAGCGCGGTGGCGACTCTTGCTTTTGCGAGTCAAGTTAATTAATAGCTTGATCTCCGATTTTCACCGCTACAGCGGGGAAGTGGGAAATCATCGTTAGTGCTTCCCCTATTTAAATCTCTATAGTCCATGCACATTCGTACCTTGCCGTCCTTTTTGGGCACGGGAACAACATTGGAAACCCATTGCGGATAAGAGGTGACGGCCAAGAATCCAGCATTAAATTGTTTCATGACTTCTGCTTTAATCTTCTCCGACATATCTGGTCGCATTCGTCAGAACTTTTGTTTTACTGGTGGACAATCCTCTTTTGTAGGCAAACGATGTACCACAATATCTGCATCAAGTCCTGGAATTTCTTCATACGACCAAGCAAAGACCTCAACATACTCGTGTAGCAACTGAATCAGACGCTCATTGACATTGGGTTCCAAATTGGCACCCACCTTGACTTCTCTTTTGTCTTCTTCGGTACCCAGGTTGATTGTATCCATTGGTTCCTTGTGGGGTTGAAGGGTTCTCTCTTCTTGTTGTAGTAATCTGGCAAGTTCCCTTGGTACTTCACAATCTTCCTCACCTTCATCTTCGGCTTGGTGGCTTAGATTTTCAGAGTCACAGAAAGCCATAGCAGAATCGTTACCCATGGGATCCCGAATGGATGTTGACCTGCATTGTGAGTGTGAGTGTGTGTAAGTGTATAACTATCTTTGAAAGAAATAAAAATGTAAAAAGAAAAAAAATGAGTGTAAAGTTTGTATGCAAAACGTCCATGATTCATTGATATCATATGGAAATGAGATAATAACCCTTACAAATGGATCATTGTGCCTCGGGTAAGACACAAGGTTTTAAGAGTTCGAATTGTTTTAATATTACAGATCCAACAAAATGTAAAGACAAATTACTGTGGGATAAAAGTGATCGGGACAAAATCTTTAGCCTCCCAATTGCTGAGCCCTCCACTGACAGTTGGGAAGATCCAATCCTCCAGGTTACAGCCATCTTCATCATCCTATACCGCATTGACTTCACGGTTGCTGATCCTCAAGGGTGGTCCTCCAACACGAGCGCGACTGTGATTGATGGGAAAGAGAAATGACTGTTTTGGAATGATGGTTCGCGTTTTGCATTTGTTTTCGCAAAATTTCGCGGTGAGCAAGAGTCGTCACCGTCTTTTATTTTATCCAACAAGGAAAGGAAAAAAGCACAGAAAAATTCCTTTTTCGAGATGTTTCTCGGGTTCGGGAGGTAGATTATAGAAAGGGAAGGTGTTAGCACCCTTTCTATCTGTGGTTATCCACGAGCTCTTAGGTACTTGCTCAAAGTGTTTTCAAAATTTGCTTTTCTTTGTGTTTGTGGGTTTGAAAAAAAGTCTTTGTTTGAAAGGAGTGTAAGTGCGAAAAGTTTTGTTTTTTTTTAAAAGAGAGCAAGTACTTAAGAACCATCCACCTACTCGAAAAGGGAATTAAACTGTGCTAATGTCCTTTAGACAATGCTATCCCACTATTGATGAGTAGGTAGCATCGTCGTTGGAGTTTTTGGGTCAATTCGATTAAGGGACGTGTGGTCACTAAAGCAATGTTAGGACGCCTTAGCGGTAACCCTAATGTCTTAGATCATTTTTCCGAGGCAACCGTTTCGAGGCAACTTATGATCTTTGGACAAGAGGGCGACCTCTAAAACTTCCTATACTCAATGACCACGTTCGAGGCAACCAAGTGAGGTGTACCCTAAGAGTGCGCATGTGCGAGTGTGTTATTTCGATTAATTTTATCTGTACATGTCATGGGTGAGCTATGTTGCTTTTAAGTTCATACATTGGATCTTGTCATGCATTCCCTATTTATCAAACATCTAACAATTAATATTTGCAGAATTTAAATTGTGGAAATTAAATCTAAACTATTACAAGGCCTCGGGTATTTACATCGCCAAAAACAACCCTTGAAATTTAAATTGCGGAAAATAAAATAAAGTGATAAATAATTAAAGTCCTAATTAAAAGCTATTACATACCGGAAGCAATTACAATATTTGAAATATGGATCGTGTGCGAAAAATTAAGACGGCGCATTTTTTAGGGTTTTGACCCCTTTTTTTGAAAGAAAGAGATTTTTTTGTTATTTTTTGAATTTATGGAAATAAAATAAATTAACAATTTAATTAAATTAAATAATGAAAATATTTTTGGGTTTTTGAATATTTAAGGAAATAAAAATAAAATGGTTGAAATTGTTAAAACCTAATATTCTAAATTAATTTTAATTTATTGCAAAAAATGTTAAAATTATACCTAATTAAAACTAAGTCAATTAAATTATTATTTATTTACAAAAAAATAAAAAGTGATGAATTTAATAAAAATAATATTTTTTGTTTTCTGATTTTATGAGGGAAATTAATTATTTGGTTAATAAAAATAAATAATAAAACAAACAAATAAATATAAAAGAAAAAAAAGGAAAATAATACTCAAGGGGGTTTGGGCCTAGAGAGGGAGTGACAATCAGCAATCCAGAGGCCCACTTATGCCAGCCTTGTTTGACTTTTTGGAATCCCACGCGCGCCTGTTGACTTGAGTGTATGGTGTACCTCCAATCTGGGCCTTTAGATTTGGCCTGGGGGGCCATCTGGCGTTTGGATCTTTGAGGAGCATGATAGTCCATGTGCTTGAAGTTGTACTGGAACAGCTATGAAAAAATATTACAAAGCAAATTGGTGGACCTGGGATTCGAACCCAGGTCCCATTGGATCATGCATTAACGCCTCTGCCAGCTGAGCTATTTGTTCTTTTTCTTAATGAAATAAACAATGAATATTATATGTAAAACAAACAATTATGCCTGAATTAAAAAAATAAGAAGCGCGTAATTTTGAATTGGCCAATGAAGATGAGCCACGTCTTCGTCAACAAAACCTATACTTTTTCCTGCGGATTTGGATCCGCAACAAAATCCATGGATCGATCCTAAAACAATCTTTAGGCAATGGAAACGAATTTTGGGATCACCATCTCACTCGTCTCTTC